CTGGGAAATGCCTCATCACAGGTTTGATTAATTAAATATCTTTTATTCCTTTTTTTTTTTTCTTTCCTTCCTTTTCACACTTCTATCCAATAGCCATGGAACCATTTGCTTTCTAAATATAAAAAAGAATAGGAAAAAAACGACACAAAATGTAACAAATCACAGAAGATCTCAAGCCTTCACAAAACACATTGTCCTGTTTTCTAACAGACACAAGCCGCACCCTTTTGGACTTTGAACCGTCACTGGGCTAAAAATGTGAAAACATACTGAGAGCTCAACATATCATATCAAACAGAACCAAGTGAATCGCTAAATCCCATCTGATTTTAAATTAAAAAAGGAAGAGAAAAAAGAAAGATACAAGCAGATGGTATTAAATACTGAGTAAATTGCCAACAAGGCTGGTTTCAACACAAAATAAAAAAGAATTACTGAGAGGATGAAGAAAAAACAAATCTGACAGATGAACCTAAATCACCTCAGATTATATTATCACTATAAAAGAATCACCAGCAAGGCTGCATTAGATTCCTTCTTGCTTGATAAACAAAACTTTACACATCCCATTCAGTGTGGATCCACAACTAGTTATACATACAATTTTATCTTTTATCTCTCTCTCTCTTTTTTTTTAATATTATTTTATTTTTTTTGCTTTTTGTTTTGTTTCATTTCAGTCAGGATTCATTATGAATGACACACCATACTGCATGCATACAAGTTGTCTCATTCAACTTGTACAGAGGTTTCAAGAGTTGAATGGAATATAGCTCTTCATATTGCATTCAAGTGGCTTTGTATGTATAGTTAAAAACCTATGCTGATTTTGATCCATCATGAACAGCCCCTTATGCACACATTAGTTTTATTCAGCTTAAATCCATCATGGCATCGTGTGTAGGGCATGCGTCTCGCTGAATTGACTCAAATAATGACTGCAATTCGGGTGTGGACTTGATGTGAGCAACGAAATCTGATAACTGTGGGTTCTTGTCGGCATCTGGGATTGTGAGAAGGGCGGCCACAGCTCTCATAGCCGATCGCTTCAGCTCGTCCTGCTTCTCGTACTCTTGCTTCACTGAATTGGCTTTGACCCTTGTGGTTACTGTTGTGCGCAGCGGTTCGACTAATCGTTCAAGTCTGGTTTACAAAAAGAGACAAAATTAGTAGTGAATGTAAATTTCTACACATAAAAATATCACCATATATCTGCTTCCATTGTAAAAAATCTAAATATTCCAAAGTTTAAACAAAGAAATAAATATGCTACTTAGGCCCTAGGAGTTCCCGAAGACTCTCAAATAAAATCACTCTGAAGAAACCTTAATTGCCTGACACACTTACCCTAACTTTCGTCTCATTGTAGAGCTGTGGGAGAATGGTGTCAAGAAGATCCCGAACAAGAGAAGGTTTGTTGTGTGCCGCAGAATTGAATGCAACTAAGGCTACACGACGGACATTTAGGTCTGGGTCCTGTAGTGTTGACAGGAAGTCACCAATGCTATGGCGAAGCAGGCTGTCAATGGCTGTGGGCTGGAATAGGAAAAAAAACGAACAAAAGTAACAAATCACAGGAAGATCTCAAGCCTTCACAAAACACATTGTCCTGTTTTCTAACAGACACAAGCCGCACCCTTTTGGACTTTGAACCGTCACTGGGCTAAAAATGTGAAAACATACTGAGAGCTCAACATATCATATCAAACAGAACCAAGTGAATCGCTAAATCCCATCTGATTTTAAATTAAAAAAGGAAGAGAAAAAAGAAAGATACAAGCAGATGGTATTAAATACTGAGTAAATTGCCAACAAGGCTGGTTTCAACACAAAATAAAAAAGAATTACTGAGAGGATGAAGAAAAAACAAATCTGACAGATGAACCTAAATCACCTCAGATTATATTATCACTATAAAAGAATCACCAGCAAGGCTGCATTAGATTCCTTCTTGCTTGATAAACAAAACTTTACACATCCCATTCAGTGTGGATCCACAACTAGTTATACATACAATTTTATCTTTTATCTCTCTCTCTCTTTTTTTTTATTATTATTATTTTTTTTTTTGCTTTTTGTTTTGTTTCATTTCAGTCAGGATTCATTATGAATGACACACCATACTGCATGCATACAAGTTGTCTCATTCAACTTGTACAGAGGTTTCAAGAGTTGAATGGAATATAGCTCTTCATATTGCATTCAAGTGGCTTTGTATGTATAGTTAAAAACCTATGCTGATTTTGATCCATCATGAACAGCCCCTTATGCACACATTAGTTTTATTCAGCTTAAATCCATCATGGCATCGTGTGTAGGGCATGCGTCTCGCTGAATTGACTCAAATAATGACTGCAATTCGGGTGTGGACTTGATGTGAGCAACGAAATCTGATAACTGTGGGTTCTTGTCGGCATCTGGGATTGTGAGAAGGGCGGCCACAGCTCTCATAGCCGATCGCTTCAGCTCGTCCTGCTTCTCGTACTCTTGCTTCACTGAATTGGCTTTGACCCTTGTGGTTACTGTTGTGCGCAGCGGTTCGACTAATCGTTCAAGTCTGGTTTACAAAAAGAGACAAAATTAGCAGTGAATGTAAATTTCTACACACAAAAATATCACCATATATCTGCTTCCACTGTAAAAAATCTAAATATTCCAAAGTTTAAACAAAGAAATAAAAACAATCACATTCAATCCATTTCCTTACCTCTGTAAGACAGCCTGGGGACAAAGATGGGCTAGCCTTGTAAGCATGAGATAGGTCAGCATCTTTATATCGTAATGGTCACGCAGACCTCCTTCCACGTGTTCCAAGAATACGTAAATGTCGATGCGGTCCAAGCATGTCTCCAGGAGTGTGTACATACATTCAAATGCAGCCTTCCTGATGTCTAAACCATCATCAACTGTGTGTTTGAAAGGACCCATTTCGACTTCCCGTATAAGTTCTTTCTGTGGTGCCAGAGAAATTTTTGGTTAATGACTGAAATGTCTTAAAAGTACTATCAATACAAATATAAAAATAAAAGATAAATCAGCCATTGTCCTAAAAAAAAATACAGGAAATAGTCATTCTATAACAAAACAAATAATACATTCATTACTGAGTTTCCATACAAATACATATGCTACTTAGGCCCTAGGAGTTCCCGAAGACTCTCAAATAAAATCACTCTGAAGAAACCTTAATTGCCTGACACACTTACCCTAACTTTCGTCTCATTGTAGAGCTGTGGGAGAATGGTGTCAAGAAGATCCCGAACAAGAGAAGGTTTGTTGTGTGCCGCAGAATTGAATGCAACTAAGGCTACACGACGGACATTTAGGTCTGGGTCCTGTAGTGTTGACAGGAAGTCACCAATGCTATGGCGAAGCAGGCTGTCAATGGCTGTGGGCTGGAATAGGAAAAAAATATGCAAATATAGTAATAAACTCTATATCTAGATAATAATAATAGATATAATCATAATACTAGTCCACAACAGTACCTCAAAAAGTGCTGATTGAAAAAGAGTGCTCTTCAAAAATTTATTCAGCCTTCCACACAGTTTGTCCATAAACCTCTGTAATGAGGTAACACACATACCTGATCTGAAATGGTGAACTTGATGGCTGTAACAATGGTTGTTCTCATCATAGGGGAGTCAGTCTTCAGGGATTCTTGCAGCTTGGGCAGTAGAGCAGATGGGTTGATGAGGGTAAGTTTTCCCAAACATTCGGCGACAACATTACGCGTTCCCTCTTCAACACACTCTGTGTGTCTGAAGAGCTGTGCCCATATGTCATTGACAAAGCCTTGCAACACCTTGACACCCTCTGCACTCTTACTCTGTAGGCTGATGATCTGGAAAAGAACAAATATTTTCCTTAACATCATGAAACCAAAGGGTCTTTTTACACAGACATCCTTAATTACAGATGAAATGTGTGTCTATGTCTGTATACACACAACATGTGTCGGCATACAAGTTGACATTTGAAACCTATATAAAACCTATAAATATCACAACAAAACCACAGGCCTCCTTGTATGCTGGACACAAAATTTGAAACTTTACTGCTCAGGGGTAAACATGTCCGACTGCCTGCCTAACACTCATTCTACACTTCTTCCCATAAGTCTCACAGCCGGCCTCAATTATTTCCTACCGAAATCACATATTTGGTAAGTCTATTTAGCACAGGGTTTATAAAAATATCAATGTCTAAACTCATAACATATGTTAGATTTGTTTAAGGTCTGGATAGGCTGCTTTACTCTATGTAAGAAATCACTTGCAGCTTGTGTGTTTTAGAAGAAAGGCTTCTTTGAATTTTTTATGATAGCATATTTTTTTCTTTCCCTACAATATATATATCTATATATGTATATATATGTATATATATATATGTGTATATATATACATATATATGTATATATATATATGCATATATGTATATATATATATGCATATATGTATATATGTATGTATGTATGTGTGTATGTATGTACGTATGTATATATGTATGCATGTATGTATGCATGTATGCATGCATGTATGCATGCATGTATGCATGCATGTATGTATATGTATATGTATATGTGTATATGTATATGTATATATGTACATGTATATGTACATGTATATGTACATGTACATGTACATGTACATGTACATGTACATGTATATGTATATGTATATATGTAAATATGTATAAGTATATGTATATGTATATGTGTATATATATGTGTGTGTGTGTGTGTGTGTGTGTGTGTGTGTGTGTGTGTGTGTGTGTGTGTGTGTGTGTGTGTGTGTGTGTGTGTGTGTGTGTGTGTGTGTGTGTGTGTGTGTGTGTGTGTGTGTGTACAAGCTTGTATAGGAATGGTAAAACACTCTTCCGTGCTGATACTCTTCCAGAAAAACCCACAATGCAAAAACTAGGTGGATTTCAAAACTGTTGTATCACTTTTAATAAATCTATTTTTTTCACTGTGGGTTTCTCTACTAGAGTATCAACACAGAAGAATGTTTTACCATTCCTATGTAAGCTTGTGTACGTACAAACACACACACACACACTCACACACACACACTCACACTCACACTCACACACACACACACACACACACACACACACACTCACACTCACACTCACACTCACACTCACACTCACACTCTCACACACTCACACTCACACTCACACTCACACTCACTCTCTCTCTCTCTCTCACTCAGACACAAACATATATAGATGTATGTATGTATATATATATATATTAACACATACATATATAAATACTTACATATACGTATGGTGTGTGTGTGTGTGTGTGTGTGCGTGCACGTGTGTGTGTGTATGCATGCATGTGTGTGTGCGTGCGTTTTCAAATATAATATGGGATTAACAACTGTGCTCTTCAAATATAAAATAGTTTCCAATTTCCAGGAAATCAGGAAATGCTCTGTATTCTTTACGTAATCCTGATAACAAGATATCACTGTCTGATGAGGTATCTTTTTTCCTCTATTACATGGACATACTTTTTATATTCATATCCTATTCATAGTCATTTAAAAATACCTTCCACAAAGCAAAGAAATAACATCAGTATCAAAAATTCAAAAACTCACTTCCTTGAGGGAATGTAGGAGGAGATACTGTCTCTTCGGGTTGGCCTCAATCTCAGAGAGAACGAATGGAAGATACTCTTGTAGATTTCCACAGCTGAGGTGACCCAAAGCATAGGAGGCAGCTGACTTGACTTCCTCGGATGGTGAGCTAAAGGATGCCACCACAGCATCCTTGAGTTGAGGAATACTGCTGAGGTCACTGTGAAAAAGGGAATACATTTTCATTGTAATACTGTTACTGAATCTCTCTCTCTCTCTCTCTCTCTTTGTACTATTGTTACTGAATCTATCTCTCTATCTCTATCGATCTATATGTCTCTTCACCTCTGACACCAAGTAAATGTGCTGTCCACCATAGTTTGTTTTGTGAATGATGTTTGCTCACAGATGGCCACAGGAGTGATCAACCACAACAAAAATCAATGAGCAGGACCTACCTGATCTCACATAATTTCCCCTTCCCTTGAATTTCTGTTCTCTCTCTCTCTCTCTCTCTCTCTCTCTCTCTCTCTCTCTCTCTCTCTCTCTCTCTCTCTCTCTCTCTCTCTCTCTCTCTCTCTCTCTCTCTCTAATGCTATCAACCCCTTGGATCTGGGTGCTTCACTTCACATGTGGTCTAAAATCCAGTCATCAGGCTTGCTTGAGGGGCCTCTCTCATGGGTGTGTGGCTTGTAGGCTGGGCACACACGTACACACATGAGTGGTGTGCAATATTTTTGTCTCTTTTTCAACATAAGCATCTTTTGCTTTTTTGCCATTTTCATTTTCCAAGGTCTATATCTGTCATTTGATGTGCTGTATCCAGATCTAATTGACTGCTTTCCTTGCACAGACTCCATATCATCTCTTTACATAATCCATAATGCATTGCAATAAAAGCAGTAAGTAACATTTTGTTATTGGTGGCATTAATTTTTTTTACCCCACATAATATTCAGTTTTCTGTACTATAACCTGTGCCACCAGTCACAGCAGGCAGGAATAGGATACCAAGCACAAAAATAGTATCTTTCCTGAAGGCGCTACTCTTCCAGTCATGGCTAACAGATGATACAATGCACACTCTCTTATCAATAGCAATAATGCAAGAGCCCCTTCCCAAATACCTACTGAGTCTAATCACCCTCCAAGAGGTTTCTGCACTCATGGCAAGTCATGAGTGCACCCTAGCCTTCAGTCAAAATTCTCATGACCTAATGTTCTCGTCACCTGCCCACAAGCCAATTTTTTTAATAACATGATGGTCATGCCCCACAGATCATAGGGGATAATACTAATATTGTCATCATCATTACTGACTTTATAGTTGCCATATTGTATTTAACAATACTATCAGCCCCCCCCCCACAAAAAAATCTATTTTTCTTTTTTAATAAAAGAAAATGCTAAACAGGTGAGATAGGTAGGACTTGTAACTGACTCCTCACTAACTAAACACTTGTGTAACTATCCAGGTGTAAATAAAAACAATAAATTAAAATCACAGTGGACATGGCACATATATATAAGCCAAACTGGCATCTATGGACTAAATCATTTATATAAGGAACTAGAGAATACACTCTTGGCTATGTACTTATACAGTTTCATCCCCCAGCTACATACACAAGCAATACCTGATACTCACATGTGCTTTCCGATTTCTCCAATAGCAAGGAGAGAGAAGGACTGGACTGTTGGCGATCGTGGATTGGTCACATCCATCAAGAATCTGTTGACAACATCTACAGCTTCCCCAGGATGGGTCATTGTCAGAGCTGCCACACACTTAGCCATTGAGTGATATGCCTGTCAAGAAAACAAACAAACTTGTAAACTATGAGATAATGAAAGCTAACAAGAGTGCATGTTTTCATGTTGATGCCAATCCAGATTAATAATTCAATTGGGCACTTCTGAGGCAATTACTCATCAGTCATAAATATCTGCTACTAATACACTTATTACAGAAGATACAAAAGCTAAAAAACATTCTCTATTAAAATATAAAGAAGTCCCTTCATTCAAATCATATATTCCTCAAACATACACCAAAGTCATACCCAAACCATTATCCTACTGTACATTTACATTTCATCAGAGCACAGTACCTGCTTATGAATATTTGCTGCCTGAGGTGAGACCAGTGGAGTGAGGAGATGATTGAGAATGTCTTGATAATCGACTCCTGGGAGTCCGGCACGGACAACTGCCTCAAAGAGGTCCTGCATAGCTTTAAGTGCTCCACCTGTATAAATAAAAGAAACATTAGTCACCATGAAATAGAAAGAAACAGAACATCTAGAAAAAAATGTGACAGGCGACTACCTATAAAAATACAAACTTGGATAACAGTAAACTAAAACAATACATAAGTATATAATGAATAATGAAAACTAACTTTTGGTTGAGAAGTAGAATACTTGCCCATTTAGTCTGGGAAGGTCAAACAAGAGGAAAACTAAAAACAAAGTTACGGTAGAATTTCTCATACATGGCTAAATGTAGGTCTTTTTCAAAAGATTCTGATATCTTTCTTTACTAAATATATTCCTATGTTTAATACAACTTTCCATCAAAGACATTTAACTTTATGAATGCAATCAATCAGTGTACAAGAAAAGCAAACTACATCAATTGCATTAATTCCCCTTGCTCAAAGCGATACACGTGAAACTGGTTAAAAAGTAAATAAATTCATAAAATGTGAGTAAACACGTAAATCATGACACTATAAATTTTACCTTGCAAGAGTGGTGATCTGACCAGAGCCATGACATCTGGCATGATGACCTCGAGGAAATTAGCCAATGAGGACTTGTGCAGCTTGGCTGTGGAGGTGAGGAGGGTGAGGCACAACTGGGCGATGTGAAGGTCCGACTCATTGATCAGTGGTGGGAGTTCAATCAGAACCTGAAACGTTTATAGTAAATTATTAAAGATAAATCAATAAACTTACTCCATCTGTTCATAAAATATCATGAAACCCTTCCTTTAATTTTTTAGTTGAATTTCCATTTTCCACACCAAATTTGGATAATTAAATTCCCTATTGCTAATCTAAAATAAAATATTTGAGATATATAAGACTTACTGAGAGGGAAAGCGAAAGAAGAAGACAAAAAAACAAAACAAAAATCATCCCATACTCACCTTGTCCAGCATCTGGGGACTGAGAGCTGAGGAATAGTTCGTGACCAAAGTATCCAGGAGAGTTAGTGTGGCTAATTTCAGCGCTCTCTGATTCTTCCTCAAGAAAGAAGCTAATACTGGTAAGGCGTCCCCAAGGATGGGTCGGAGGTCAATTCTCAAGGGCGATGCAGCCACTTTTGTGAGGGCCTTGACGGTGGTGAGGCGTGTGATTTCATTGCAGAGGCGGTCTAAGAAGATTGGTAAGCAGGTTCCCAACTCTCCCTGTAGAGGTGATAGAAAAATATGTAATATTTCATGTAGATTTACTGTGGGGTGTGTGCATATATATATATATATATATATATATATATATATATATATATATATATATATATATATATATATATATATATATATATATATATATATGTGTACATATATATATATATGAAAAAAAGAAAGAAAGATAGATTATGAAGTCTAGATAGAATTGGATAGACTATGAAATTCTTTGATAATTTGTTTTAGGTCATAATTACTTTGGAAAATAAATCTCAATATATTCATGAATATAAGACCAGATAAATACATAACATTTGTTGAACTCTTAGCTCATATCTGCCAGGCCATGCCTATAGCTGTCATAACAGACCAACTCATCGTGACACACTAGAGCAAGTCGAGCGGAAACTTCCACTACATGTAGCGGACTCCTGGCCAAACAACAGGATGGTTGCCAGAGATTTCTAATACCATCACTGAATGGTTAATAAAGGTCAAGTCCAAGGCAAATCTCACCTGCAAATGATCACCAAGATGTGAGATGATCTGGCCCATACAAGCAATGGCCCTTTCCTTAACCTCTTGGTCAAGATCAGCAGCACGGAGTCTGGCAAGTGTGCAGTGGTAGAGGTCTCCAGTATATGGAGTGAAGTCAAAGCAGGAAGCTAAATCTGTAATGGGAATAAGGATAATATATATTCTTAAAATATATATCCTTGTATAAATTACATACAAAGATTTATGACAATTCTCAAGTAAATGGGCGACAATTTTTTTACCAGAAAACAAGGAAAGAATCAGTAATGCTGCATACCAAGAGGCCTGATGACCTTCACAATCTGTTGTAAGACAAGCAGTGCCTCTGCAGTGATCTTATAGAAGGGATCCGCTACACAAGTCACAACTGGGGGAAGGAGTTCACCAATGTGGGGATGGAACACTTCTCCACTGTGGTGCACCAGCAGGCAGTGTACGAATGCCAAGGTGTCAATCTTCATGTTACTGCTGCTATTTTTGTCTCTGAAAAGGCAATGAAAACAATTTTAGCATCCTGCAAAAGGGTATCTCCATAATCTGACTACACACATCCAAACACTCACATCTAACATGAGGACTGAGGCAGTTTGGAAGAGACGTTGAACTTACCCGAGAGAGAACTGAATTCCAGGAATAAGTGCAGGAATGTGGTGGGTGAGGGCCCCAGGGTATACTTGAACTAGTTCTGTTAGCAGTGCGAAGCAGCCCTGTCGGGTTTTGATACTCTTCTCCTTCATCTGTCGATGCACAGCTTTCACCAAAGCTGGGACCTGTGACAAAAAATTAACATACTCAGTTCTCAGCTAGTACCAAAGTTAAATAAAATAAAATAAAATAAAATAAAACCAGATAAAAATTAAGCTTAATGATTTGTAAAATTACAATGCTCCAATAAGTTTGTCAGTAATGCATGTGCTTGTGTATGTGGGTGTCTCTTTATCAGATCACCAACACTACTACAATTCACTGTATTGATTTTTTACATATAGGCCTGTGGAGTGTGGCTGTATGCTGCAGCAGCATGCCAAAGCGCTACAAGCCGGTGATTCGGCTTGATGTACTAAACTCCCCCGCTCAAAGTCGGCATGTTGCCGTTGATCTCCAGAGTGTAGAGTTTTTTTTTTTATTTTCTTCACCTCTCATTAAAGGGTTAACCCAATGCCAACAGGAATGACGTGTACGTGTATGCCATGTTCACTGTGAGTTTATTTGTTTGATTGTTTTCATACATAGATGGCTACACTTGTACTGTCGCCAATGAGCCAATTACGAGTAATGCCTGTCTCATCCATTTACCCTTTTCTTTGATTTACGAAAATATTTTACGGTATCTTATTTTGCTGTTACTAATGTTTATAACATTATAGTAATTATAATGTTTATAATAAAAATAACGCCATTGATATTAATAGCACTAGTAAAAAATTAAATTTTCCCGCCAATTCAAATCAGGTAAGGTCACAAGGTCTACTAATTGACTCCCTTGTGGCTCATAGATAGCAGAGCTATCTATGTACAGAGACATTTTACAAAAAATAGAAAAAATGAAAACAAGCTAAAAAGAAAGTGCTGTACTGCACTATTTCTTATCAGATGACAGTGGTCTCTTTGCAAGCTTAACCATTCAATCTCCGATGACACAATATCATGTAAGGGTTGAGGTGGACTGAGTCACAAATGGTCCCACATTGTGACATAACCACACAGTTGGCTCATCAAACAGAGCTTGTCTTTCTCAAATAACAGTGACATTATTTGTTTGGTGTCATTATTAGACATAGACACTTAAATTGAAGGAAAAAAATACTTTTTTTAATGAAATACAATTATATACCTAACATCCATGTGAAGTCTCAAACAAGCTGGGTGGAAATGAGGGGAACTACCAATATGCACCAACAAGCCACATTCCTGGCCACTAACCAATTTTTTAAGTTAACCCAATGTCAGCAGGTTTATGTACTGCCCCCTTTAGATCTTAGTGAGTTTTGTTACATACAGATGGCTCTATGTATGCTCAGCAGCAAGGATTCTATCAGTTGGCCCTGGTGTCTGATTCTGATTTCCCCATTCCTTGAATTGGCATGTTTCTTTCCTATACTATTTATATTGACATTATCCTTGTTATTGATATTTTGATCATTAAATTATTAAAATATTAATAACACAAAAAACAATAAAATGATAGAATTGAAGCTTTCAAAAAATGAAGGAAAAGGGTAAACAGATGAGACAGGTAAGACTAATAGCCAACTTGTTGGTAACTAATCACTTGTAGAGCCATCTTTGCGTAAAGACAATAGATAAAACTTTTACTACAGTGGGCATGGCACTGTAGTCTTGCCACCTGCACTCAATGGGTTGATGGGTTAACCCATTCGCCCTGGATTTACGTTCTGTCCCCTGTAGTTTTTGATGAATTTTGTTACATACAGATGGCTCCACATGTGCTTAGCTGGCTAGGAGTCTATCAGTAGGTCCTAGTTACTGACCCTGATTTTCCCATTCTCTGAATTGGCGGGAAAATTAATACCACTGTTATCAATATTGTTATTATTGTTATTGATGTTATGATTATTAATTTGTCATTAAAATATTTTAGACAATGAAATGATACGAAAAAACCCTTTCCTAAAGTGAAAGAAAAGGGTAAACAGTTGAGATAGGTAGTTCCGATAAAGTGGCTATTTGGTGATTAAGAACTTGCAGAGCCATCTATGAGTAATTACAATAAATAAACGTGTATTACAGTGGGCATGGCATCTACTCTTGCCACATGGGGCGAATGGGTTAAAAGTAGGTGCTCTGTTGAATGAGAATTTGGGTACCTGTTTCAAAATTTAAAGAACTATCTTCCAGTTTAATTCAATAGATGCTTCTCCCTGATTATATTGTTGAGAGGTCATACATTCATTTGGCTGAACTGTTTATTGTGTTAAACTCTCCTTCTTTGCAAACATTTTCCAATGAATGGCTAGATAAATTCTTAGCCTATGGATGGTGTGGGGTTCACGCCATGGCTAACTTCAGGCATCTTTTTTGATGGTTACAGTTATTTTCATGTATAGCCATACTTATACTGGATATCTATAACACAGCACAACCCACCATAAGACATCTAAAAAGCCATCTAAGATATTATATTTGTTAACCCCTTGCCACCGGGTGACGGCGATACGCGTGTAAACAAATCGCTTGAAAGGTGGCGTACGGCCAAACCAGCCGGCGGCGCGCCAAAGCGCGGCGAGCCAGTGATTCGGGCTGACGCCCCGTACTCCGGCGCTCAAAGTCGGCGCGCTGCCTTTGTTTGCCAGAGCGTAGAGTTTTATTTTCCTTTTGTACACCCGGCGTCATTGGGTTAAAGAAGTGGAGCGGAGCTTTGCGATGTTGCAAAACATTGAGCAACACCCTAATTACCACTGGAAAAAACAAAAAAAGCATTGGTCATGGCTCCAGGTGACATGCTATTCTTATGAAGATTCGTGCATTACCATTTTATACTCTTCTTTATAAGGAACCCTCCCCACCCATACCACATGCCTCAGGGAATTGTCTGAGGGAGAAGGGGATGTGTTATGCTATGATTGGCTATGGTTTTATATAAAGGGCGAGTTTTAGCAAATAAATCATTCATTTGCTATGCCCAGAAGGTGACCAAAATATGCGGCCGCTGTGAACCTGTAACATTCACTCTTATTAACGAGATCAGTCACCTTAATTTTAGGCACACTGCCATGCTCTGCCAGTGGGCATATCTTGAAGTATGACACAAAAGGAGAATAATGAAGCCATAGTGGCAGCAACCTTTTGCATCACTGTTTTTAATCTCTTATTTTGTAAAAAAAGGAGAAAGAAGGGAAAGAATAGATGCAGAGTAATAGAGATCTGGTATCTAAATAAAAATACACATAGGCCCATCAATAAATACCTGCTGCTTTAGCATAGAAATGGTTCCTTCCTCTTGTTCCATGGCATCAGGATCAAGGCTGAGACTGAGAGATGGCCGCGTTTGACGCAGGAGAGCCATGTATGCGTGGAAAATGTCAACCTTGACGTTCTCTTCTCGCTCTGTAAAGATTGAATGGTGTTAGAATTGCTGGTATGGAAATCTAAAACTGTAATCATTACAAATCAAATAAATACAAATATGTGGCCGAAGGGGGGATTCAAAAAGTTCCCTGAAAAAGTCTGTAACTAAAAATCATTTGGAAGGATTTTCATTTCAATGAACCTGAACATTCTCATACCAACGTATTATAACGTGTTCAAACATGAACCCATAAATGCAGGTAATAATGCATTGTCGCTAGTTGGAAGTCAGTCAATATTCAAGCAACATGGAACCCACCAAAATCAAGGCCAGGGCAATCACAGATGAATAACCACTGAATCAGAAGCAACAAGGAATCCACCAAAATTGCGGCCAGGGCAATCATAGATGAATAACCACTCAACATTCTGGTGGAGAGTTTGGGGCAAAGCAACATTTCCACTTGATGGATCCCTAGGCTGTTGTGCCCAGATCAGCAGCAACCATGGGTAAATCTTTCAATGGATAAAAGTCAATTGAAGGAGTGGTTGCCCAGGGTTGGAAGTGGACCAGTCTGAGTATTCAAGAGGGAAGGTCATGGCCACTGTCTTCTGGGATGTAGAGGGGATTGTGTTGGATGACTTCCTCAAGAGCAAGAAAACAATTACACTGCTTATTCTGAATGCGTTTTTCAGACATCCACCTTACAGCACTGATTTAGCCATATCTGACTTTTCTTTGTTTCCAAACTTAAAAAAAAATTATTGAAAGGCACTAATTTCCCATTGTTAGAAGATGTAAAAAGAGCTGCTTTGACATGGTTCTGATCATATGACCCTCAGTTTTACTCCGACAGACTTAACCCATTGCCGCCGGGGAAAATGAACAAAAAATGGGGAAAATGCTGTGATTATTTTCTATACTTTTTTGTTAAATGTCTGCCCATAGATGGCTCTGTTAGCGCCGATTTGAAATGGTGGGAAAAAACGTATTTTTCACTAGTGCCATGCATATCAATGGTGTTATTTTTATCATAAACATTATAATTTTTATAATGTTTTTTAACATTAGTAATAGCAAAATAAGATAACGTAAAATATTTCGTAAATCAAAGAAAAGGGTGAACGGGCGAGACAGGCGGTACTCGTAACTGGCTCATTGGTGATTTAGTACAAGTGTAGCCATCTATGTGTGAAAACAATCTAACAAGTAATCTCACAGTGGCCATGGCATGGCATGCCCGGCGGGAATGGGTTAAAGGCTCAATTTTTGCAGAAGTGCATTGACCTTAATGGAGAATATGAATTTTCCACAAAATTTTTGAAGCTCCCTTGTGTATGTGAGTGTCTATATATATATATAAATATATATATATATATATATATATATATATATATATATATATATATATATATATATATATATATTTTTTTTATATATATAATATATATATATATATATATATATATATATATATATATATATATATATATATATATATATATATATACATACATACATACATACATACATACATACATACATACATACATACATACATACATACATACATACATACATACATATATACACACATACACACATACATACATGCATGCATGCATACGCACATACTCACATACGCACACACACTATCTCTCTCTCTCTCATACATACACACATAGATACATAAATATATATGTGTATATATATATAAGTATATATGTATATAAGTATATATGTATATATATACATGTGTAAATATATGTATGAATACATATACATATATACATATATCTCATACATACATACATAGATACATAAATATATATATGCATATATAAGTATATATGTATATAAGTATGTATATATATATATATACATATATACACATATATATAAAAATTTATTTATATATATATATATATATATATATATATATATATATATATATATATATATATATATATATATATATAAAAGCTATACTGTCCCCTGCATGATTAAAAGTCATTATCTGAACACAAATGTCAGGGTTATTATGTCTGCAAACATAAACATACCTTTGAATCTCTGAATTAACTGTGGTGAAACAGTTTTGTAGAACTCTATCAGCATTTCATGCCTGGTTGAAATCACAGCTTCAAGACATTTGGCAGATGCACGTCGTACCTTGAGATGGAGAAAAGGAAAAAAAAAAAAGAGTCAAGTTTGGTCTCAAATGCTGCATCACAATCCTCCATTACTACGAGCTGTATAATCATCATTTAATCTTATTTCACCTAGCCTCTCACCTTCCAAGACATGTCATCATCATCTGAATATTCGTCATCTTCTTCCCCATCGTCATCTTCATCCATATCCATCTGTCCTTCATCGTCTTCATAATCATCATAATTATAATTAGGATCATGAGTGATATACTTCAGGCACATTTCAACAATCTGTGCAAAGAGAAAAACACAACAGCATTAAAATCTGCTCAGTGAAAAAAATACAATAACAGTCACTTACTTGTGTATCTCAGCAAATAATGGAGTTAATATATTGATAAGGGTTCTTCAAGGTATGGATCAGACCCTGTACTTGGTCTCAAGCTCCTGTTCTCTAGGCCACCACATCCTCATCCTCATAATGATAGAATCTATCTCTCTCTCTCTTTCTCTCACAATATATATGTGTGTGTGTGTGTGTGTGTGTGTGTGTGTGTGTGTGTGTGTGTGTGTGTGTGTGTGTGTGTGTGTGTGTGTGTGTGTGTGTGTGTGTGTGTGTGTGTGTGTGTTTTTGTTTGTTTTTATACATTCATATATATAAACTAATATGAGGTTAACCCCTTCCCCAATCATTTTTTTGTTAAAAACATTTCTTTTTCAGACTAATTTGTTTATTTTGGTTCTATAAAGTATTTTTGATGCTGGCTATGAAAACAGTTTGTAATAATTTTTTCTTCCCATTTTTGTGGTTAACTTTTTATTTTGAAAATACCTTTGTCGGCAAAAACAAGTCAACTCGTCTTCCTATAAACCATATTTTTTTTACCATATTTTCTTAATTTTTCTAAAAATTTTATTACCAAATGTAAAGAGAAATGAAAACCTATTTTACTTAGACTGATGAATTCAAATGGACTCAGTTCTGCTGGGTTTTCATCAATCTTTATTCCAGGATTTCCTGTGAAAGGAAAACGTGGTGGTGGTGCATTCATACGCTCCTCTGACAACTCGAGGCTTCGCCAAGCTCTCCCCTCACCCCCCCCTCCTCCTCCTCCTCCTCACTTGTCAAGAAATAGTCATTGTCTGATGAACTGGCAGAGTTATCAGAAGTATTCAAGCTTCTGAGGGAAGGTTCATATTCACTATCTTCCGTTGAACTAGACATTTGGGGTGTAACACTTGAAAATGAAAATGCTACAAAAAAATGAATGCAAATGTGGATGCAAACAACACCCATCTGACGACAATGGCTGCTGGAGCAAGTCTAGTAACAATGTCCTTGAAATCCCACAGTTCTACCCTATCGCCTCTGTCAGGCGTACAATTTGAAGAGAATACTCATTTCACATGTAGAATGGCTTACAAAGGCTTAAAATCGACGAGTATATACATATGTAGCTGGTTTTTGAAGGTAAAGTTGTTCCAACTTTGTAATATTATCAGTTAAATAGCAATAATGCACACTGGTAAAATATCAAATTCTGGTAGCTGCTTCACATCTGATGTCATGCAACCCTCCATCATTAATAAAAATAAATAAATAAAGTCTTCAAGACTTCAGAAATATGACATATTTACTCAATTTCACAAAAAAGCTACCCTTTCCACAGTCTAAACAACTCCAAATCCCTTTAAAATGAAAGCACTTTCTTGATTGAGACATGTACAGTTTCCTAGGTCTAGGTCTAAGTCTACACCTTAGACTAGAGGGCCCATATCACACCTTAGACTAAGGGCCCATATCAAGAGAATAAAATAAGATTCTTTTTTTGACTCATTACTTACCGTGGCTAAATGATGTGTAATTTCCTTAGGGCAGCGCAAGGTGAAGGCTTCACATGCAGAGATGCAGTATTCCCTAAGTTCATCATCATCAACGGCCACATACTGAACAATAAGGGGCATGACGCGCTCCAGGTATTCACCAAATCTGTGGCCAGCCTGACGACTTTGGAGAAGGAGGAAAACTAAGTTTTATTTTTGTATTCAGGTACTCCCCCCACTTTCTTACTTTCAATGCAATGTGGTCAAGCAAATCTATAATATTGGTATGAAGTTTTGAAAAACAACTTGTCTTATCCAAGCAATTACTTTTCACCTTCTGTATGTTCACGTAAAAGAAAGTAACCACTAAATACAGCACACAAACATACCACAAACAACCCACAAACAAAAATTCCATACCTGATTGCAGCTATACACTGAATGTAAGTTCTTGTTGTAGACATGGAAGAATTCTTAGCTAGTTCTTCAATTAAGAAATCCATAAGTCTGGCATAAATTTGCGGAGAACATGAAACAACTAAGTGACTAAGGGCAACGATGGTGCGCTTTCGGACAGCTAGACGCGGAGACGCTAACTGTGGCAGAAGTGCGTCCAGAATATTAGGGTGGAAAGAGACGAGGAGAGAGCCAAATCGCGCCAACAGGTCACCCAAGATATCTAGCGCCTCCAGTTGAACACTAACATCCTCTTGCTGCAAAGGAAATCAGAGTTACCCTTCATTATATAGGAAACTCTACAAACTATATTTCACATGAATAGATTTGAAATTAATAGATATGATAACTCAAAATTTGAAAAACACACAAAATACATTATATTCCATATCTATTGTGCTTTAAGTTGAAAAATGTACAAAAAATAAATAAATAATCAACCAAAACGGTAAGTACTCTAAAAATACATCATAATAGAAAACAACATGTCAGCAATCCCATAATAATACCTTCATAAAACAGTATGAAAAGTTTGTAGAATACTAACCCTTACTATTGCTTCTGACAGTCTATCTGTTACTCTCTTACAAATGTTGGCGACTAGTGCTGTGGAAGAAGCTGGCAGCTCATTGATCACGGTCTTGAGAGCAAGGGAAGACATGTCCCTTAGCTGTTCCCTGTCGCTGACCATGTGGTCACAAAGGGACTCCACAATTGAATAAACATGAAACTCCTTCACTTTGTTCACTAAAGGCCCCAAACTGGAAAAAACATAATAATAATTAATATTGATGATGACAATAATAATAATAATAATAATAATAATAATAATAATAATAATAATAATAATAAGTTACCACAAATATAACAGTAATAATAATATGATGATGATGATGTTAACAACAACAATAATTATCATCATAGTATAAATAAGGGTAAAATACAATAAAAAGTAACAAGTAAACAAATCACTTTCACATTATTCGGAATGTAAAAGCTAGAGGACGAACTTGATCTCCTAATAATTTTAAGGATCTTGAGGGGCATATTTTCACTTCAAATTGCCCCACCTGACAAGCTTTATCTTGGATGATTAGCACAATTTTTTTTTTTTTAATCAACACTGACAAGATTGAAATACAGAAATATAATTGAACTGCAAGATTTAACAAAACTTCAAATGATGCTCCCTATGAAAATCCTTCATACATAAAATACACCTTTGAATCAATGTTGAAACAGTCTGTTTATTTAGCTAAAGAAAATGTCAGCATGTTACAGTATTTGAATCCCCACTGAAAAGTCACCATATTTATGCTATATCAGTAGCAACACTTACAGCACAGAACTTTTGTTGGATGAAAGGAAGACTATTAAATCTAACACCAGTCTGTCATAGCCAAATACCTTAATTCTGTTTTATGCCTTTCCCCCAAGAGTGGAGGTTTTTATATAGTTACTGACACTGTAAAATGTTTTTAAATTAGCTTCTGTAATAATGCATTTCTGTACACTTTAGGTCTGCATCATGTCTAAATGAAAGTCTCATATGCAAATATAAATTATATATCATTCACAACCAGCACTCATACAATATAATGATCATATTATGATAAATCTTAAAAACATACAAATATCTAAAAAGGATGACTACATGCAAAAAAGGATTTCCAAGGTTTAAGTTTTCAAGGTTTGGCAATCACAGTTTTCAAGCAAATGGATTACAGATTCTTAAGATCAACTTCTATCTATGAGTTAGCATGAGATTTCAGCCTGTTGGATATGTTACATGACTACACTAAAAATAATCCCTTCTCATGACTAAGGGCTTTTACATACAGACAATATAAAAAAATCAACATGTGTGCTAAATACAGCAGTGGCAGAATATAAAGGAAAGAAAATCACTCCAATAAAGTTCTATTTTATGCTCTGTCTTACCAATAATGTTAGACAGAGAAATTTTGGGATATGACTGATATTTATTATATCTATTCTTAATTTGCCATACTGTCATGTCTGACCTTTACAGTAATCTTTGATCAAATGTTTCTTTGGCATTCCCCCACAAGCAACTAAACATTATCATTAACATCAACCAAAAATCAAAGCAATAAATTCTACGTCAATGAATGGAAGCTTCAAATCAGCCACGTCACTATTCAAAAGTCCCCTTCTCCATTTAAACAAACACAAATCATCCTGAGCATCCTGATTCGAAAGTATATGCTATCCACAGCTTCCTTCAACAAACCCTCTACTTGCAGGGTGACCTTGCAATGACTCAACAGTCTAAATTTATCTTTCTTTTTTTTTCCCACCAGGTCTTTCACTTAAGCTTTACTCACCATTTGACTGCCAGGTTCTGTACTTCTCCATTTTTGTCTTCCAGTAATCTCAGCAGCATTCTCACAACTTTGCGCTCGGAATCGTCGTCAAGCTTGATGGAATCTTTCTGGAGTTCTGTCATTAGATCATTTGTTGCCATAAACCTGTAGTCCTTATCCGTACTGGTCATCTGTGGATATTGCAAGATATTAATGGAAAGAAAGGTAGGACTACTTTATCTTTAATAAGATTTTTAAGGCCAAATAACCAGCTGAATTAGCTGAAGACAGGGTGAAAAAGATACAAAGGAAGAACAAGAATAAAAGTATAAACAACAACAAAAAATGAGTGATTCTTTTTCTGACCTACCCATAACATATCTTTAATCAAAACAAGAAATTCATGCCATGATTGCATAAACGGCCTACTTGGAAACTATTTCTTGAGCTAAAGCCAAAAAGAACAAATGTTCCTTACTTCACAGCCCTCACCCTCTTACAACTTTGTATTCTCCTTTTCCTTTTTTTAAGAATCTAACACTCACACACATATATGGGCCTTTGTCAAAAAGAAAGAGAACATAAAAAATAGATAAAGAGGTTGTGTTTGAGACTTATTTGGTTTAAACAAGCTTCAGTTTATTAGACAGCACAATAAATCAACTTTCCTTACTCCAGCACCTTTGGGACTTAGCAAAGTAATATTGAAAGAAAAGAAGGTGAAATTGTAATGAAGAAAAGTACAATATCTGTAAAAAAATGTTTTAATACATGCCCTGTCCCTCTTCTGTTTACAAGATGGTATTGTATTGATAAAGCTGACTATAAGAATTCCAGAGAGTAAGGGAATATTGTTCAGGGCTTTGCAGAAAAAAAAAAAAAATCACAGTAGGCTAAAGGGTACAATATAACCCTTACAGGTGTGCATATTTTGAAAAATTAAAGTCTCTAGAAAACTTTATGGTTGGCAATTGCAGACAGCATTGATATATAGGCTGGAGTTAAAGGTTGCATTGTAGTTTTGACTTCTTACTCATTGTAGTAACCAGATACACTAACTGGGTCCACAGTCAATGAATGACAATGGCTGGTGAGACGGAAGGGATGCCAAGTAGGACTAGCATACCCACGCACTTTCTGATAATTTTCTTCCAAGTCCACAAAACAGTAAAACTTAATATTACCTGCACTTAGACAAATGTAATAATTAGTCTACATCAGTCTCTCTGGAAGGATTGAACATTAAAAGGTAATAATAATAAATAATCAAAACTGATTACGCCATAGCAAACTACAATCTAAATACATAGGATTCTCCCATGAGCTACTATCTGCATGACTTTTTATACAACTGGCATTACAAATAATAATAAAAAGTTACATACCCTCCAATAACAACCTGAAGTGAATAATGCCATCTAATGATATACAGTTCATGAACTATCTCTGCTTAAATAAACAAGGTTCTGTATTCAACCCACTAAGAGCTCACATTTTGCAGATCATTATATATTAGTCCAGTGAAAAGGTAGTCTTGTAACATTGATTGTCTAATAATAACTTAAAATAGATAAACATTCCACAAAGTACAAGAGACAACTTGTAGTAGTAATAAAAAAGACAGAACTATGGATTTCAAAGATATTTATCGTATCCAAACAATTAGTTTCCACTCTCAGCAACTCCTATCTTCTTCCAGGAAATTTGCATTCCTTTAGAATGCATCATGAAAAAACGAGAATAGAAAAATGTAATATACATACATTGGTAATTGTTTGCTATGTGACTGCACCCCTCCGAGACTATCATTATTACTCCAGACAACAAGCTTGGGGACCTTCCTGAGAATCCAAAAAAATCACCCTAGGAACAAAAGCCTTCCAAACCCGGGGGCTTCACTCCGAGACCCCCACCAATTGCCATGTTTCCCTAATTAAGAGCTCCATCCCAACCTGCAAATGACCGCATATTTCCCTTATTTGAAATAGAGCAAAACATTTAAGGTACAGTGCCTGTTTAAGTGAGTGACAAAGAGTTTATGCAGGGTTAGCTCACAAGTAATTTGTTTACTGCAAGGCAAGATAGGGAATAGCATTTGTTGCAATCTATTTTCTTATGTTGCGCCTGTCCAGATTCTATCATATCAGTAAGTGTATTTTTCCCTCTCTTTATGACAATGTCTTTAGATTTCCCCTATCTTAGTCAAGTTCTTATGTAAATATATGCCTGTGCTTCTGGTAAAAGCTGCTCACAAACAAGGCAGAAAAAATGTAAATGACTGCTATCTGTACTATAACATTTCATTTTCATTACAGCTATTTGGGTAAATGTTTAAACCCCTTGGTGCTGGATGACATGGGTCACCATGAAGAATTCTCAACTTGCACCAGATGATGTGACTAAACAACATGCTGAGACTTATGTTTACTACCTGGTAACATTATCTGAACTTCAGACAACCACATACGTACAAATCAACCTCTATGAAATATGGCCGGTGCATACTGAATACCTCTGAAAATAGGATTTAGTCATTTTCTTATTTTACACACTTGCACTGATATAATTTTTGCTTCTTCTTATGTGTTTGACTTTATTCTATGCATTCTGACAGGTCCTCTCAGGTGGTAGCTTATCTGGCACATACAATAAGACACGCTCAACAAGAATATCAAAATATGACCAAAAGATGCTTGGCAGCAACAGGTCAGAAACACCTGCACTTCCACAACTGGCTCTCCCCTGATGAGCATGAACTGCACCTGCTGGCACTTCAGCAACAGCCAACATATCTCCACCACTTTTGATCTGGCATGATAAGAGCTTATAGACATCTTAGTGATTTACGGTAAAATAAGGAACCAGTCCAAGCTCTCTCTTGATAGAATATGTGCAGTGAAGGTCTACTGTCCTTTGCTAAAGCATGTAGCACATGTCATGGTGTCTGGGTCTGAACTTGTAAGCCACAGGTCACATCGTATCAAGTTTCAATTGGATTTAGAGATGAAACACCAGTGCCTGACTGCTGTATAATGCAAGGTGAACAAAGCATGTTATTGATAGATCAGCTAATTCTATGGCACTTTTTATCTATGCCATATCCCATGCATATTATAATAAAAGTACTAATATAAATTCATAAATGGTAATTTTTTTTCAATACAGATGTCCCCAACCCCATGTCATAAAATTAATTCAACACTTGAAGTTGCCATGACTGGGGATGCCCTAAGGGCATTGCCCAAGGTGAGGCTTGATGGTGGGTTCTGGCCACTATCAAAACATTGTTATCATCTCAGTAAGCACGGAAAGATGGAGCTGAAACACGGGAATACAAAGCTTTCCCCAATCTTTTTCCTCTATTTGTGGCATTATCATTTGTTTCTGCAGATTATGTTTAGTCCCTTTCAAGAATATCATCTTCAATTTACCTTAGTGCATCAATATTGTACACAATACAATACTAATTGTGTCAGTCAATCACAACGCCTCTAGCAAAATCCAAAAAGAAACTCTTATGCATATTGAGGCATGATATAAGCTTGGACAATTTCCTTATTTTAGGAAAAATTAATTCATATAATGTGTAAAAGCAAAATATCACTGTTTCACCGTTGCCATCTGGCTTCTGCATCAGAGGAAGTCAATGCAGGTGGATCTCGAGTTTACAAGCCTCTTTTAGGTAGACAGATGTTCAGGCAAGAAAAGCGTCACAGAAGGAACGTTACTTATAGGCTTATAAATCAAATATTATTAAAAGAAACAAGCTTTTGAAAGCCACTGCATTTATAAAATATCAACTTCACTTTAGATATTACCGTCATCATTTACATAAAATTTACAACAAACATACTCAATGACACCTTTTCCGTCACCGTCTACGGCAACTGTCAAGGCAAGACAAGCTGCCAGTTTGCGAAATGACGACACTTGTTTCAAGACCTGATCAAATAAAACACAAAAACCACCTATCCAAAATAAAAAAAAAAATGAAAGACAATCAAGACGGAAACTTAACACCTACACGCAAGAAAACGATAAGACTCAAGGATCAGATGATGAGAATAATTAATTAAAGGTAAATGACCAAAACAAAGCAAGGATCAAGAGAGAGAGAAAAAAAAAAGTCTTTATTGTGACGGCGCCCAATCTCCGAGGAAAGGAGGCGACAAGGAGAGAAAAGGAGAGAAGAAAAGGGGAAGAGGAAAGAGGAAACACGAAAAGGAGAGAGAAAGAAATAAGGAAAAGGAGAGATGAAAAGGGGAAGAGGAAAGAGAAATACGAAAAGGCAGGAATAAATCAACAATGACGATGGCAATTTTAAAAGCAGCTCTCCTGACTGCAATTATAACGCTAACAGATACTCATGACGACAAAAGCTGCAACAAAAACAAAACCCAAATTCCCCTTGCCAACAAAAACAAAAACAAAACAAAAAAAAAACATCACAGCAGACGCCATGTTATTTCTCTACCTATTTCTCTCTTAAAATCCCTTCCACCTCGTTAAAAAATCCCCTTTCTCACCTTCTCCAGCAGATTGGCGATGTGGTACGAGACGCTGGCCATTTTTTTAAGTCTTTTTTATTTTAAAGTCAAAGAAATAAAAACAAATTCGAAAACTTCTTCTTCTTCTCGACCTCCTCCTCGATGCCGATGACGTTGCATT